AGCACTTATCCCAGCTCCGGCTGCAGCAGCCCTGGGAGCAGCTGGCACCAGCTGCCTGCACCAGGGCATGGCACAGACTAGGAGCAGAGGTGAGTGGGGACAGGCAGAGCACGGTGCAGCCCAGCGGCTGCAGGCAGCTGGCACTGGCTGCTCCCGGGGCCACTACAGCCAGGACTGCAGTGAGTGCTGCTCTGTTCCCTCTGCTTTGCTGCCTTGTGCGGCCCTGGGAGCATCACCCCCCTTCCCGCCCCTTCCCTAGTCCCAGCCTCACTTCCTCCCTCTCTCCCTCCCTGCCATGGGAACCTATCCCCATTTCTTACACTGTAAAGTGGGTTCGCTTTATGCAAATTCAGTTTATGTGCTGTTCTCCGGGAACATGTATACAGCATAAATCAAGGGAAACCTGTACACCAGAATAAAACAGTAGTGGACAGATGATGTAAATCCCTAAATTTAGCTAACTTCACTCCACCTTGTGGAGAACAGCCCCTGAAGGATCAAGATGAAACTTCACCTGAGTAAGCTACCCCAGTTTAGGTTTCATCTGCCCACATCCATCCCAGAGTAGCTGTGTTCTAAAAGCCAACAGAGTTTTTCTGTAGCAGTGGAGCTCAATAATAGCTACCAAAAGTGCGGGGTGTCTTGGAATAGCTGTATATCTGTCTCTTCCTAATCCTTGTGTAATGTACAGCAGTACGCAAAGCCAATGTAAATGACAGCAAGGCACATGTTTGCCTGTCCAGAACGTACTTGTGAACTGTGGAGAGGGTGAAAGATAAAGTGGAAAGGAAGAAGTTTCTTTTCTCTTGTGCAAAGTTTAAATCTTCCTTTAATGCAGTGGTTTTCAAACTTCCTGAAGTCACAGAACCCATTCAAATCACTTCTGCCATGAGACCCCTGCCCCTCTCCTGTGAAATAACTGGGAGTCAGGCTACCTGGCCTGGCAATCTTAGCATGCCGCCTCCTGGCCTACTCTGCCATTGCGGCCAGTCTCTTGGCAGAACCCCAGGGTTCTATGGAACGCAATTTGAAAACCACATTAGAATTGAATGTATCTTAGGCTGAAAAAATGAGAACATCATTTTTTACAGTTTAAATTAAATTAATATCTGAATGGAGAAGAGGCCCAATCTTCCAACCCAGTTGCAGCTTATCAGGATGGCCAAGGTGGACCCATTATATAATAAGTGCTAAAAAAAGCACTCGTCCATGGATTAGTGACAGAGTAGGCCACTCCAGTTCTGTCAAATTCTTCAACATGTATCAGGTGAATGATGCACTTGGGAGGTGCTGCCATCCTTGGGAGGTGCTTACCTGTATGTACATTGAACATGCCCACTTACAATGAAAGTGCTTATTGTGCTTGTGGTCTGTCCCCATAAGCCATTCTTTAAACCCTGCTAACATGGCTGCATTAACATCATTCAAAAGTGCTGAACTGGAGTGGACGAGCTGGAACATGCAGCACATTGTAGGCTAGAAATGAGCTTGAAGAAGCAACAGATCTCAAGATCCCGAGCCCTCAGGGTAACTGGATCCAATCCCAAACTTTGAGTGATTTGGATCCTCCTCTCCTGCACAGGAAAACCAGGCTTTTGCAATACCTGGATACCACTTAGTCTCTTAGCTCTTGTATAATCTTTCCACTTCCCGGACTCACTGCCAACATACAGTGTCTGATTCCTTCCTTTTTTTCAGCCTTCTTTATTATGACTGGTTAAAAGATACAGACAGTCTTTGCTGCAGGAAAAGAGGGTGCTTTTATCCTCCCTAAGTAAATATTTATATGAGAAATATGACTCTTTTTTCATGACATCTTTGGTGCTCTTTTATCCAAGGGCAAAATGTAGACTGGCCACTTAAAGACCTCTGCTCCCTAGTGGTCAGGGCACAGGACTTGGGGCAAGGGAATCCTCGGCTTTAGTGCCTGCTGCCAGGGGTATTTCTGGTTTTAATCAATGACTGTATAATGTGAAATCTAGAAATCTCTTTGGCAACAGGAAAAGGAACCCAAGACTGTACTCTCCTGGCCAAAAGGTCTACTGTTTGATACCCACTAGCTTGTCCTCCTGGTCCGATTCTTCTAGCAGTCCTGGCTGCTCAGGAGCCTTGCTTCCGTAGGAAAGGTGAAGGGTCTCCTCACCCAGAATGTAACCTAGTGGCAAGGCACTCTCCTGTGCTGTGGAAGATGTGGGCTGTATCCTTAGGCTGTGGGAGGAATTAAATCCCTACTTCTGGGAGCACTGCTCTAACCAGTAGGTTGCTATATAAAATGTAGGTACTAGCACCACTACCTCTATTACCCATGTGTTTGAGTGAAACTGTTTGTGGTTGCTGCACCTTGCCCTGATCTGAATCATGTCAGTATATATGGTATTTGCTCTGAGGCTGAGCCCAGCTAATGGATCGAGTCTCTCCAGGAACTTGGATGGAATGTAGTTGCCCTCTTTCCCCCGCTTGGGATCACCGTAAAATTTAGGTGCAAATCAGAGAGTTAGCTACTTAGATGGGGCATGTGCATGCATAGAGATCTATGCTATCCAGAATATAAACACCAAACGAATTCCAGCTCCTAGCAGGTGTGGGGTCATTCTGGATCACATTTGGAGTCATTCTGTGTTGCATCTGGGGGCTTTACCCCATATATTTCCCTAAGTCCTACTTAGGCATAAAGTTACCAGTTTAGATTCTGCCAACAATCATTATCAAAAAGGGGATAAAACATTTTTACTTACTAAAAACCATATCTGTTTTTCAATTACAAATGGCCCCTGACCTTTAATGCAAAAATGGGTCTGTTTCAATGCCCCTGAAACAGACACACTAGCAGGTATCAAGCTTGTTTTTCAATATTCCTGTATTTTACAGTTTTTCAAACAGCTCTAGTCCAAATGTACCTGTCACTTGATGAAATCCAGTATTTTCCATGATCAAAAATATTTGTTCATAATTGCATCTGCAAACCTGCACATCATTTCCAAGGGTGACAAACTGTGTAGAAGGAATGGAAATATATAACCTTTTATTTTTTTAGGCAAGAGTTGAGTGAGGGAATGTGGGAGTCCCTTTGGCACAGCCTGATGATCCTAATACTCCCCCCGGCTTAAAAAAATGATTGTAGAATGGAACCTGAAACCTGACTCCCAGCAATGCAAGGCTGAATTCTGCTTCAGCCTCATTCTCCTTGAATGCAGACAGGTGAAACCCAGTGGTTTATGTCTGTGAGTTTGTTTGCATGCTTTATCCAGTATGAAACTCAAATTGCACCAGCTTGGAGAAGAAAACAATTTAAACCCTTCTGTATACAGGAGGCGGTGGCCTGCTTCAACCTTCAAAGTAAAGGAAAGGATTCAAAGAAGAATTACAAGAATGATTTGAAGTCTGGCAAACTTGCCTTGCTATGAGAAGAAATTCAATCTATATAGTCCAGTAGAACCCAGATCATTCATATCCAGATGGTTCACAACACATTTTATTTACACCAGATTAGCAAATAAAGAACAAGCTGTGCAGTTGTGTACTACAGTTGCGTATAACCCCCAGCTGCTTCATGATTCATCTTTGCAAGGACTATATAACCTACTCCTGCTAACTATCCAGGTTCTACTCTAATCAAAGCAGAGGCTGAGATTGTACCCAATCACAGCCTGCAGGTCCCTGCAAAGGGAAGATTTCAGATAACAGGCAGCTCTTTCCTTTAGCAGGAAAAAAACCATAAACAGTTCCACTGATTGGAAAATAAAGTCAGACGAGACCAGACTAGACATAAGGCACACATTTTTAACAGATTTGATAATTAACTGCTAGAACAACATACCTATATCTGGATTTTCCATCATTTGTGGTCTTTACATCAAGATTGGCTGCTTTTTGGAAAGACATGCTTTAGCTCAGAGGGAATCTATGGGTTTGGTGCAGAAATTTTGAATGAGTTATATCCTTTGCAATATCGAAAGTCAGACGAGACTACCCTAATGGTTGCTTCTGACCATGACATCTGTGAAACAAGTGAAGCCTGATCCTGCTGTCTTGGCAGTCAGTGTCAGAATTCCTATGGATTCAAGTATTTTAAAGTGTTTTATTTTGGAAGATAAATAGTTGCTTTCATGCTGATGCATCAGTCTGATTGTTATTCCCACCTGCTGCTGGGGCACGTCCAGCCTGGCTTGCCTCCTTGTCAACATCCCAAAGAGCTGGGTATGCTCATCCTATAGATGAGAAAAAGAAAAATTAGTCTTGCTTGTATCTCATGCTGCTATTCCTGTTACTGTCCTGTCCAGCACAGCTCATCTATCAGTCCTGTTATTTCCATTGTATATTTTCCTTAACTCCAGTATTTCCTGAATAATAAAACTTCCAAATAGGAATGCCATCCAGACCTGAAAATGTGCCATATAGAAAATAGTACTGCTGCATGCTGTATCTCAGATGCTACACATAAACATTGCTATTGTAGCAAAGTTAATAAACTACTTTACAAGTAATTCCAGATTAGGATTTTTATGGCATGGACTATACACAGTCCATAGTTTGCAGTTCACAGAATAGCAGCCTTGTATTATCAGCATTCCATCATTATCTTTTCCATGAAGCGGCAGCCTTGCTGAAAAGTTGTACTTCTCCAGGGTTAGCCGTTTCCTTTCCTCAGGTTCTATATAAATAGGAAAGGTTTCCAGGCTCCATCTGGTTCCAGTTATTCACTCAATACACATACACATGCTTCAGGAATTTGCAGACGGAGACTTACTGCCCTTGTAAAATCCTTTACAAAGTTCACTGTGCTCTGCTGTCCCCGATATACCTGCAGGTCTGTAAAACTACCTCCCCCAAACTTTCTAAGGATTCAAAGACATGCCGGGAGCCAAGAGTCCCAGTCCCTTCTAATAATCTGAGCCAAAGTTCACTACTAAATATGGCTTTAAAAAAAATAAAAAACACACACTTTTGACCACCAAGGACTGCCTCTTCCTGAAATCTCCGGTTCATATAAATACAGGAAGTAGAAGTAATAGAGAAGCTAAACCCAGATCTTCTTGGCAGTTTGCTCTTGTTTCACTGCTTGTTAGTCTGCTGTCCCCCTGCTACTACTCAGGTTGAAACTGATACTAAACATCTTGCCCTCCCCTTGAAATATCATTTTCCTAGGAATAAAACTAAGGATGTGGAAGCTTTGCCCTGGGATGGAAAGAGATTGCTGCCTTTACAGAGGAGCTCTAAAGCCATTCTGAAACAGCGAGTGCCCCAAAGTGTGTCGCAATGATGAAAACATCGGCAGGCGACGAGGGAGTCAGGGAAGATTCAGGGTAAGTCTTGACTGCAAGTTTTAAATAAAAATATTGCTTCTCTCTTTGCTTGGTTAAAAAGGGTCTGTGTGCTGCAGTTTGTGGAGTTATCAGCTGCATAGTTGTTCTGGGTAAAAGTGATCATGTCACTTACAGTACTTCCTTAACTAATGCAAACCTCTTGAAAACAGGCTATAACTGACTTTATTTAGCATGAAAATGCAGATATTTGGCGCGTGTGTAGCGGGGAGAAGAGGGTGAGCAAAATCCAAGTTGTAGCTGAAAAAGTGAAGTTTGTAATCAGGAAGCCCTGTGCAAAGAAAGCAAATCTTTTCCAGGAGGTTTGGTTTGATTCCACTGAAATGCTGAACAGCAAAGAAGGGGTTGATCCTAAAAGGTCCTAGCACTCTGGCTCCTGTCCAGTGACAGTTTGGTCACGATTACGTGTAGGAATATGCCTACCTGCTTTACTGGTCATGGCCAGCACTCTGCAACTTGCAGAGCTGAGCCCCAGGGAGAGGGAGCAGGAGAGGAAATGGCTTGTCAGGTCTGGAGAAAGCCCACTCTGCTCTCAGCAGCTCTGGGGTCTGGTTGGATGCCAGCCAAACTTCAGCTGTATCAAAACGTTCGCCCTGACGCTGAGCATTCCTGTTTCCTGTCAAGAACAATCAGAGGAAAATGACATAAGTGTTGAAACCTTTGGTTACCCAGCTGGAAAAGCAAGCAGCCCAGGTATGAGGAGTGCCCCTTATCCAACTGACATAGTAGTTCCCATCAGTAAAGTTTCCCAGATGTGTCAGGTA